AAAAAAAAGAGTCAGAAAAGTGCATCAAGGCAGTCGGTAAACTCCTTTGTGAACCAATCAAAATTAAGATCATTCATGAAATGAATTCAGGCGTATTCATATAATAACTATTGGTAAAAATCAGTTAGATTAACTACTTCTAATAAAAAAGGCAGTGCGTTTTGTTAACACTACGTTCCAACAATGGCTTTTATGTCATGTTGCTTAGCAACAAAAGTATAAACTAATGTTCTTGTTAGTCTTGTACTGAAAGTATAAAATAAAATGTGAAGACAATAAAACTGGAAAAATATTTGTTGATTTTTTTAATTTAGTCTCCGTTGATTTAAGAGTTTTTTTATATTAAAAACATTGGTGATATAACAGAAAATATATTGATTCAGAAACGATTAAGTTTAAAACTAAATCGATATTTTTACTTTCATGGTAAATTTTATGCACTTGGCTCTAGGCTAGGTGATCCCACACTACGTCTTTACTTTAGACTTATTATACAAACACTCACTACACTTATAAGGTTTCACGGAACACACAACCCTCACGATCTCCTTGCATCTCCGTCACTGAAATCATAATGGGCAGACTGTAATCGTACTATTCTATCTGGATAAATGCATTTTGGTACGTTTATGACTCCTCCTATTTCGAGAAATCAAGCATGACATGACGTGACATGAAACACATTGGCTTTTATACAGGGCAGATATTTGCATTGTATCGCTTCTTTCTGACAATTTTTTCTGATATTAATATATCAAAAGAGAACTTTTCATTATAAATCATTGTAACAATTTTATAATTGTAACGAAACAAAACATTCAGCTTATTAACAAGTATTTCTTTTACGAGTTGGTTAATTCTTGAGAAGTATGTAGCGTTTGAAAAAGTAGTTATGATGCTTCAGCAATGATTATACAATCTTTGCAGTTAAACTAAAATAAGAATCAAATAATAAATAAAAAAATAGTAAATATTTTAACAATTTATTACAATATTACAATTTGCGTTTTCACTAGGGTTGATAATTCTAAATATGTACAAAAGATGGCAGCAGGAGACACGATTACTGCTTTTCTACCATCACATATACCTCAAGGGTAGTAAAAAAGTAGTTGACTGCTGTTAAAACTATATATTTTTTATCGCTCAAGTACCCTGATGTAAGTGTCTAATTAAATGTACTGTTTAAATATTTATGTATTCTAAGTGATAAACATCTTAAATAATTTTTGTATTTTTGTATATCTACCATAGTCTTTCATTTTGTTAAAAAGTACTTAGATTTTTTATGATTTCTAGGCAGACTGTAATCGTACTATTATATCTGGATAAATGCATTTTGGCGCTTTTATGACTCCTCCCATTTTAAGAAATCAAGCGTGACGTGACATGAAACACACTGGCTTTTATATAGGTCAGATATCTGCACTGTATCGCTTCTTTCTGACAATTAATTTACTGTCAAACATAGGTATTGATGACAATATCTTATAAAGTAAGACTTAGTTGTTAATTGTTATTGTAGTAATATCTCACGAAAAGAAATTTACTTGATAATATTTAGTGCAGCAGTGTCTTGTGTAGCAATTATTTTGCGAAAACTTTATATGGTCATATCCTGTTTGATCAGAAGTTGATAACATTATTCACTTATTAATGTTTAGTATGGTAATGTGTCGTGAAATAGCGTATTGGAAGTTGTTGATAGAATACAATGGTAGTAATTAAAATTATTGAGTTAATCCTGTTAAAAGCTGTATCATATAAGTATAATTTTTATTTATTCCCTAATTTGTCTAAAATTGCATAAACATTTGAACTCCATGAAGGAGAAGTGGGATGAAATATTTTAATCTTATCTAAAAATAAAGTTTCTAAGAATCCATGAATTTAATCTTTTTACTTTCTTAAGAATTTGGAAGAACATTTTTCTCTTTGGAGATCTGTGAAAAACAAGCATATTGCAAATAGCATGCGTGCAAATCTCACGTGCTTTTTTTAAATCGTTTTATATATATATATATATATACTGATATATATATATATAAGAAAATAAAATTAAAATTTTATCGAAAAGTAGGGGTCTTTCGTTAAGTAGGGATCGTTGGTTATTCGTGAAATTTCTATAAAATATATCCAAAACAAAATAAATACTGTAATAAAATGTACACAAACAAGTAAAGTGATACTAGTTGAATATATTTTAAATCCATAATTTGGTTGGCAAATTTATACTGCTTCATTTAGTTATATGGATTACAATGTAGGGATTGAAAATCGTTTTGGATACTTCTTGTAGCAATTCTACGAATAACTAATGATCCCTACTTTCCATTAAAATTTTAAGTTTTTTCCTATTTATTTGTGCCGTTTTTATATCTCCATAAACTTTCAGTATAGCCATATCCTTGATAGCTATAACTTTTACAAGAATTAAAAGCACAATCACAAATTTATAAAATGCAATCCTTATTTTGGTATACAGATATGTATATATTGCTGCCAAATTAGGGATTAAATTTTATGATTTTGTGATTGTGGTTTTAATTATTGTTTCATTACTATTTATAGCATGATCCCTAGTTAATTTTAAAATTCATGATTTTTAACACTCTTGTTTGTTTAATAATTGTGTTATACCTGTATAAAGTATGTACTTTACCTTTAGAAACTGTCGCATGTCTATTTGTCGATATGAAGTGCCATCTGTTGGGTTGAATTGAGTTTAAAAGATGTTTAAGTACATGAATATGTTTACCATTTATGAAAAAATTCTGAATATATTTATCGGTATATCAAAAGCGGATATCCACAGATCAGTCTAGTAAGCTAGAGAAATCCTGTAGCGATAGTCCGAGCCGTCTATGGGCTAGCCCTGCTGACATGATCAGGTAGGTGAGTAGATTGCAAACGAAAATGTGGCTGTTTTAAAAATTTTTGAATTGTTATACTGTAATGTTAGCGACATTTTTAGTGTATTATTAGTACACTATCTAAAATACGGAAGTTATGTAAATTCATGATTGACGAAAGATTATTTTAGGACGTGAAAGTTGTTTCCCTTATATGTAATTGTAAAAAAAAACGCAAAAACGCCCATAAAAACTGCAAAACATAAAATGTGAAACCACAAATTTGCATGTGTCTCTGCATGGACCTAATGAACCTTCAAACCAATTTTGGCGAAGATCCATACACATCCTGTGAAGTAGTTACATGGCCATACAACAGAGAGTACTATTATATTTATATAGATATGTGCATAGTATATCGTAACCCATACATTGAACGGCCGGTTTTTCGCTTAGGAATTCAATAGGGTGGTTTTTCGGCGCGTGAATTTCTTGGAAACCTTGTCAATCCGTACTATTACGTACTACAATACTTAATAATATAAGTTTCCAGAAGATGAGCGGTAAATTTAAGGACTTAAAACGTTAAAATCCGGGGTTCATTTCTCTGCAGTGGTCAGAGCACAGAAAGCTCACTGTGCAGCTTTCCACTAAAAACAAAAGAAACTCACTTGTAGATCGAATTGATGTACTTTTTTCGTTGTTGTACCATTTTTCAGCCTGTAATCTTCCACGACTATTTCAACTCATCAAAGGAGACTATATAGTATTGATGCATTGATAAAAAATCCTCCTGAAACTGTATGAACTTATCTTAAATCGATTTTCACAGCTGCCTGCAGCTGTCAAGAACAGTTTATTCCCACATTGATATTTCATTATATTGGATTTTGTGACATAAGAGGCCTTCATGAAAATGCAGTCCAAAAGGGGATGTGGTGACCTCACAAGGGGACATGTCCCACATCTTGTCCATGCCTACTCCGTTTATTCTTTTTATTCTGTATACAATAAGCCAAGTGGACTAAACATATCAAACCTAGTTATGCTTATCATAAAATGATTAGGTTTCCGTGAGTCGAATTATTGGAGGCAATACATGTACTATAACGTATATTTATACAACACCAGAAGAATCAAATATTCGTGTGAACCCATAACTTATATGTTGTTTTTCTTCACAACTTGTCCCTTCTTTTTCAAATGCATGAGAAGGCAACCGGATTTCGTTCATTAGCTATTTAGGTGGATTATAATACAAAAAAAAGATAAAACGTCTTAAGATGTTTCTGTGTATTGACGTCATAGATTCGCTACTGTCTATACCAAAATAGAAGAATCATAGACACACTTTTGTATGTACCCGTAAGATGTATGATATCATGAACACAGGAAAACAAAGTAGGCATGGGCTGGATGTTGGACACACCCTCTTTTGAGGTTGTACAGAAGAAGTTTCATTACACCATAGCCATTCCTACCTTGTTTCCTCACTTTTTATTGTACTCATTTCTTCACTTTTATTTATTTTATTTTTTCAACTTCTTCATGCCATTTTTCCATACAAGGGGACATGATCTTATGTATGATTCATTCATTTGTGTTTATATCCTATATGTATATCATCAGTGTGGGTGTGCACCATATTATTATGGTATCTGCAAATAATGGTGTATGTGTGCGCATTCTCTTCACTTTGGTGTGTGTACATATTGTGAGTGTGCGTGTGTGCTGTACATGTGATGTCACATACTCTATGGTGTGCAGTGTCATTTGGGTGATGTAATGTGAGTTGTGGTGGTGCGCATATACCAAGGACTGACAAATTAGTTAATTAATTTAATCAACTACTTCATGCTAGTACTAACACGTGATCCCTGTGCTATTGTTCTATTTGGTGCACTTATAACTATGGTAAGTCTGTTTGTTACACAGCTAGAAGCTTTCAACAATGTCAGTCAGTCAGTGAGATTGAGAAATTTATGGTTTTGTGAATTTTTTGTATCTGCTCTGCTAACTTTCTCAAGTGGTTCTATGACTTTGTACGTGGGTTTCACTCAAATACGTTTGAAGATTTATTATTTGGTTGTTCAAGGTATATATATATATGAGTAAATAGCGTGTATTGTGTATCCACCACATTCCTACTATAAATACTACCGTGCTTATGATAGTTTGTACAATACTCCTTCTTCGTCCAATAAAAAATTCTCGAAGTTGTCCTATTAGGTGTAGCATCAATTAAATAACCCTTACAACAAAATATTTACAACGAAATTGTGATGAAATAATTGTATTTCATATTTACAAATTCAAGCCACTTTTGAGACGAGTAACACATTTCAAAAACACTATGTAGTCAGTATTATTTTTGGGAGGGGAGCTGTACGTAAAGACTTGTATGTGTGCGATATAATAAATCGTGTTTTTTTGCACATTAATCAAATCGCAGTAGACCTCTATTATTATTATTATTTTCACTCTGATCCAGTTTATTACCTTCCGATTTTTGAATCTGGAGCTAGAACTCAGTGATAACTGTAACTATGACCACGTGGAGTTAACCAATCGAATCGGACGACCTGTTCCCCTGAAACGTTTCTGTGGAAATGAAATTCCGCCATCAGTAACGGTTCCGGCTAGGAAGGACCTACGGATGTACTTCTTTAGTGATGAGATCTATGAATATAAAGGCTTTTCTGTAGAATATAACGTCGTCAAAAATGATGGTAAGCAGTCACAACTAATTATAAGG